GTGACTAGCGGAACAAGTTTGGAAATTGGAAGACTGCTGAAGTAGAACTCAGCTGTCATAATCGCACCCGCGCATGACAAATCACAGGTGCGAGCCCGCAGAAGCGAGCAAGAGATCGCAGATGTGAGATTGGAGGAGCTGGGCAGAAGGAGCAGGTGCGATGAAGTTCCCGCACCTGCGATGGCCACAAAAGCGGATTATGGGGCGCATGTGCGTGTTTGGACTGCAGGTGCGATGGGTTTCAGCACCTGTAATTGTCGCAGATGCAGTCAACTGATCGCCGAAGCAGAGGCCAGGTTTTTAATGATTTTCCGTAGAAGTGGGATTTTGTCCGCAGAAGCGGTTCCGCAGATGCGGTAAATGAGCCGCAGGTGCGAAAAACCTAGGCAAGGTATATAAAAACAAGGGTTCGCGATTTTAGTCTTGTTTCAACATTTTGGACTCGAGCTTAGGCGATTTTGAAGAGGATTTTCGTGGGGATTTCAGAGGTAAGCATCTTCTACTCATTTTTGATCATAAATCTTGTTTCCCCATTGTTTTTTCCACTTAGATTATGTGGTGTTGAGGTGAAATTTGGGAGACTAGGGCTTGAGAATTGGAGAGTGAATTTTGGGGGTTTGAGTGACCAAATGAGGTTGGTTTTTGGTAAATTTGGGATGGTTAGACTCATGAGTGAATGGGCTTTCGGGTTTTCTGACTTTTGTCGGATTTGATAGGTGGGACCGGGAGACGGGTTTTCTGACTTGTGGCTATGATTTGGTGTTTTTCTTGTGGAATTGATTCCTTTGGCCTATACTGATCGTATTGTATTGCTTGTGGCTAGATTCGGGATGTACGGTGGCCGAGTTCAGAGGCAAGGGCATTGCAGAGTAGGATTTTGCTCGGTTTGAGGTACGTAACGCTTTCAAACTTGGTTTTGAGGGTTCTAAACCCCAAACTCTGTGTTATGTGATTAATATTGGAGGTGACGGATATGACAAGTGACAGACGTCGGGCTTGCACTGTGAGAATCGTGACCTGGTTCATTCCATGGCATCGTGTAGTGACTCTTTCTTGTTGATATCCGTGTTTCCATCATGTGGTAAAGTAAATGAGCTGTAAATCATGCTAAATATCATGTTAGGGCTTTACGCCGATACTTTTGGGACCCCTAGTGGTTGTTCATGCTGTCATCTTATTGATTCAATTGATATTTTGTACTCAGTCATATTCATGCATTTCATATCAGATATCAATCTCACTTGTTATTTATTGTCACATCATATCATTGTTCCGGGATAGTTTCATGACATTGTGAGCCCGTGGGTGAGACTGGAGAGTGATGACTGAGTGAGGTCGAGGGCCTGATTATGAGTAACAGTTATGGGATCGGGCTGCATGTCGTAGTGGTTGTTTCGATTTGTGATGCTTGGGCTGAAGGAGCCCTTCCGGAGTCTGTACACACCCCCAGTGAGCGCAGTTGATATTAGTATTTGGAGATGGATCTTCTCCACGAGGAGGGATTGGCCTATGTCCCGGGTACTGGAGACTGATGGTCAGTGATGTTTATATTCCGAGATGGATCTTCCCTGAGTCATGTGAGCCATATACAGTACCGAGTGGTTGTGAAGTTATTATTATTACCTGGAGATGGATCTTCTCATAGGGCTGGATTGGCCTTCCTCAGTACTGAGTGACTGTTGAAGATGTATATAATCCGGGATGGATCTTCCTTGAGCCGTATGAGCCATATCCAATATTGAGTGGACGAACATTTGAGAGTGTGAGAACATAAGATATTCAGCATGGTGCGTCACATACAGCATGTGCATTGGCATGTAGATGTAGGAGAGTTTTATTCTTTACCTTGTTCGTATCTGCTCTATTTTACTGTTTCAACTGCCTATTAAAATAAAAGCATGCCTACGTTTCTGCACATTCCTTTCTATTATTTCTGTTACGGTTGAGTTCGTCATTACCTTTCAGTCCACAGTTTGGACTCGTTACTTACTGAGATGGTGTACTCACGTTACCTCCCTACACCTTGTGTGCAGGTTCAGGAACTTTTTGTCCCAGTGGCAGTCGCTGATTGAGGCTTTAGGCTTTAGGAGACTATCGAGGTATCTACACGGCGTTCACATGCCTTGTCTCTCCAGATGTATTTCAGTTTGTTCCTGTAAATAATAGACCATGTCCTTCTCTAGACGCTCATGCACTTAGTGACACCCCGGTTTTGGGTAATTGTATCGTAATTTGGGTTTTTTTATGTTTTCGAAACGTTCCTTAATGATTTATCGCTTCCGTATTTATTGTTTAAAACATTTTTCGGTGTTGGATTATTGAATTAAGACTAGCCTAGTTCCACGATAGGCTCCATCATGACGGTTCGAGTTTTGGGTCATGACAATTTGACTAAAGGGCTTGAACTAGAGATAGAGAGAACCTGACTTGGATTGATATCAATTGCTTAGATTTTTACCCATTTGGTCTTAACAAAGTCAATTTGGTCATAACCACTCTATGATCCAAAGGTATTGAGTGAGTACTTGAGAATTGAGAGTCCTAATACACCCCGATCCACAAAACAAGCGTTAAATTAGCATACCATTTGGTTTACACCTAGGTGGAGGTTACATCCCTAAACTTTTCCTCAATTGATAAAACACCAAAAGAATAATTTATTCTCTAATTGATTTTACTTAGTCAAAATTCTTAGCGTAAAAATTAGTTAACAATCATCCCTCTTATTTGTAAGTACAATTTGATTAATTCACGTTCTCTCATCAAGTATTTTCCTTAATACCAATTGTAAACTCCCTGAGGAATTCGACTTCGACTTAAGTTGGGTATTATAATTGCACCGACCGTTTCTCACTTAATGTTGAGTGTGGATTTGGACGTAATCAATTTTTGGCGCCGTTGTCAGGTAGGTTTTACAGTGTTAAATATATACTTGAGTTTGTTTATTGGAATATCTTCTTTTACTTTTGTGATTGTAATTTGTTGAAGTGATCGTAGATACCAAATGGCGAACAACAAACTTGAAAACATGCCATTGGGAGAGGTGGACAGCGAGAGGAGCAACTTGATGAAATGCCTCAAGCTCCATAACAAAATCACCGAGGCCGTGTTCAACTACACAGTGTGCCTCCACCCCCCTCCACCACCACCACAACCACAAGAGGCGCGACATCGGATTTTGCCCCATGAAGGTTATTCAAGTGTCATAGTACCCCTCGCATTAGGGCAAGAAAACTTTTAATTACAAATGTGATGCTCACTTTGCTTGAGCAACAAGGTTATTTCACCGGGGCGCCGATTCAAAATGCCTATAAACATTTCAAAGGCTTTATGGATACATGTTGGGGGAGAAAACAAATAAATATTTTGGAAGATGCTTTGAGGCTAAGGCTTTTCCCTTCTTTCTAAGGGGTAAAGATTTGGATTGGTTGGAACGCTTGCCTAATCATTCTATCCATACTTGGAATGATATGGCGGCAAAGTTTATTGCTATGTTTTTCTCTCCCGGGCACATGACTATTCTTTGGGATGAAATATTGACTTTCAAGCAAGATCCATGTAAACCTTTGCATGAAATTCGGGAGCGATATCAGACAATGGTGAAGGAGTACCCGGACAATGATATGACCGACAATATGATCCAACAAACTTTCTACCTCGATATTAATACTGCGAACCAATGTGTGGTTAATCAATTTTCCAGAGGCAACTTTATGACAAAACCTTATGTAGAGGCATGTGAAATATTTGATGAGATGGCAGAAACTACTTCAGCTTGGCAATCCCGACCTAATGTTCCCCACGATGATCCTAACATGATTCATCTTCATAAAGAGTTGCAAGACCATGGTCAAGCCATTGCCAAATTGAAAACAACTATGACCCAACTTGCTAAGGCCCAACTTAATCAAGTGCAAGCTCCTAAGCAAGTTCATGCTATGGAAAAGGGTAAATGTGTTGGTAAACAAAAAGAATGAAAAATTATGCACAAGATGATGGTAGTTGTGATAAAGATGATTCTTATTATGAGCAATGAAAAGAGGTACAATTTGTGAAAAATTATCAAGGGCAACAGAGTAATTTCTAAGGCTCCAATAAACAACAATGGCGTTCTCAAAATAACCAAGGCAATTGGGGTCCTAACAATCAAGAAAATTGGCACAAAAATAAAAGGAAATTTGGTTGGCAACAATCAAGGAAGTTGGGGAAATAACAACAATCATGGAAATCGGAGATCGGGTTTACAAAGGCTCTCAATGTATCAACAACCTAGCAACCCACCTCCTTATTCTTCCCATGGTTCATGTTCTTCAAATAATTAAATGGGCCATATTGAGAACATTCTTAAGCAAGTGATGTAGAAGAATGCAGATTCATATGCCCACCGTGCCTCACATACCATCTCAATCTGTAATCTTGAAGTTCAAATGGGGAAAATCTCTCAAGATCTTAATACTCGTCCTAGGGGTGCACTACCAAGTGACATGATGGTAAACCCAAAGGGTGGTAACAACATGGGGCATGTCATGGCGGTTATTACAAGAAGTGGAAGAGGCGTGAATATACCCACCTCAAATCAAAGGCCCCTTGTGGATGATGACCAAGTGATCGAAGAGGAGGAAATTCCCAACAATGATGTTCAAGCAAGTGATGAGGTTCGAATTGACACTGATGATAGTATGGACGAGACACAATAAGAGGTGAACCCGTCTAGGGAGTACATTATTGACATACCGGAACCGGTAGTGCAAAAGGCTAAGGCAACCTTGCTTAAGCCCCCAACTTCTTGTCCTCAAATACTTGCCAAGCAAAATGGTGAGAATCAATTCAAGAAGTTTATTCAAATGATGAAAAGTGTCTCTATTAATGTGCCATTGGTAGAAGCTTTGGAACAAATGCACGGTTATGCCAAGTTTATGAAATATTTTGTGACCAAGAAGAGATCGATAAATTTTGAAACTATAAAAGTCACTAATCAAGTGAGTTCAATTGTTTATTCCATGGCTCCTAAGTTGGAGGATCCCGGTGCTTTCACGATTCCTTATACTACTAGGAGTGCCAATTTTGCTAATGTTCTTTGTGATCTTGGGGAGAGTATCAGTTTGATGTCCTATTCGATGTTTAAAACTTCGGGAATTGGGAACCCAAGACCCACATCTATGAGGTTGCAAATGGACGATCATACCATGAAGAGGCCGTTGGGAGTGATACAGGATGTTTTGGTCCGAGTTGCTAAGTTCATTCTTCCGGCGGACTTTGTTATTCTAGATTGTGAGGTTGATTATGAAGTGCCTATTATTCTAGGAAGATCTTTCCTTGAAATGGGTAAGGCTCTTTGTGATGTGGAAGCAGCAGAACTCACTTTTCGGGTTGGTGATGAAAAAGTGGTATTCCATGTGTGCAAGTCTATACGTTAACCAAATAGCAATGAAGTGTGTTCTTTTGTGGACTTGGTGACCGGTGTTATTATTGATGATACAAGTACTATAATCAATGTTGGTGATATATGGGAAGCCATTTTTCTCAACTTTGATGATGAGGAGATGGATGGTTTCATGGAATGTGCGAACACTTTACAAGGAATGGGCTCGTACAACTATGCACCCCAGAAATTATTTTTGGATCTTGAGAATAGGAAGACTCTTCCTACAAACCCTTCTATTAAAGAGCCACCTACTTTGGAGTTGAAACCATTGCCACCACACATTCGGTATGAATTTCTTGGCCCTTGCTTTACTTTTTTCTTGTTTGACTAATGTGTAGGCTGATTCCACATTAGCGGTATTGCAAAAGAGAAAGAAACCTATTGGGTAGACTTTGGCGGACATTTGGGGGTATAAGCCCCATATTTTGCATTCATAAGATAAAGTTGGAGGATGGCGCTAAACCGTCCATTGAACATCAGAGAAGACTCAATGAAGCTATGCAAGAAGTGGTCAAGACAGAGATTATCAAGTGGTTCGATGCCGGGGTTGTCTACCATATTTTCGGTATTTCATGGACCTCTCCGGTTCAACGTGTCCTAATAAAGGGGTCATGACGGTTGTTACCAATGAGAAATATGAGTTGATTCCCACAAGAACGGTCACTGGGTGGAGAGTTTGCATGGATTATCTTAAGCTCAACAAAGTCACAAGGAAGGATCACAATCCTCTTCCTTTTATTGATCAAATACTTGATATATTGGCCAGCCGTGCTTTATATTGTTTCCTTGATGGTTATTCGGGCTACAATCATATTTTTATTGCTCCGGAGGATCAAGAGAAAACCACCTTTACGTGTCTTTATGGTACTTTTTCATTTAAGAGAATGTCTTTTGGTTTGTGCAATGCACCGATGACTTTTTAGCGGTGTATGATGGCTATTTTCATGGACATGGTGGAGAACTATCTTGAGGCCTTCATAGATGACTTCTCGGTTGTCGCGACCCAAACCAATGGGCCGCGATGGGCACCTGGTACCTTACTCAACCGAGTACTAATGTAACGTATCTTTCGTATCATGTTATCATAGTCAAATGAACCAGAAAGGCTATCATGAGATGATTAGAATAAAGCATGAGGGAATACTTGACATAGGATGACCCAACATGATATACCGACTTATACATATGACGTACAGGCCTATAAGACCAAAATGATCACTCATACACTGAACATAGGCCGACAAGGCCATACAATCTTTCGTAGACATGACATATGTCTACAAGCCTCTAAGAGTAGATAAATACCATAAGGATCGGGATAGGGCCCCGCCATATCAATCAATACATGTCCAAATCATACTGACCAATAAGCAACTCCGGAGCAAATGGAGTGCACCAACATCTTCCGCTGAGTTGGTAGCCTACTTGAAGGGCTCTCAACCTGTCTATCTGGACCTGCGTGCATGAAACACAGCGTTCCCAGGAAAAAGGGACGTCAATTTTCAAATAATGTACCGAATATTTAAGGAACAAAAATCAGAAATAATAGACATGAGAGAAACATGGAGTAAAAGACTCAACATGTATGTCTGCATAGCTTTATGAATCATTTAATATTTATAATGTCATGCATATGCGTATAAATGTCCTATGATGCATAGGTATATACGTACATCACATCATCAAGCCTCTGAGCGCATCGCATCATATCATCTCGGCCACTGTGGGCGAAATAATCAACGCATACCGGCTGATCAGGTGGTGGTGTGTATATAATGCCATAGCCTTTCCTCATACCCCATATATATATATATATATATATATATATATATATATATATATATATATATACATACNACGGGGTGTATCATCGTCGTATACTACGAAGTATACTCAGTTGTTGAGATTCTTTGATGATTGTCTTGCAAATTTGGACAAAGTTGGTGCTAGATGTGAGGTAAACAGATTTGGTGCTCAATTGGGCTAAATGTCATTTCATGGTTGAGGAAGGCATTGTCCCTGGACATAAGATCTCAAAGAATGGTATTGAAGTTTGACAAGGCGAAGATTGAGGTTATTCTTAGCTTCCACCCCATCTCCATAAAGGGTGTGCAGAGTTTCTTTGGCCATGCCAGTTTCTACCGCGCTTTATCAAATATTTCTCTAAAGTGGTGAACCCATTGTGTAAGCTCCTTGAGAAGGATTCTAAGTTTCATTTCAATGATGATTGTGTGAGAGCTTTTGACCAATTTAAGCTCAAGTTAACATCTACTCCTATCATTCTCCAAATTAGAGTTTTACTTCCTGGATTGATGCATTATACCTGCCAAAAATAGAGGCTCCCATTAGTGAGAGTTTGAGTTGTGTGAACCCGAGGTGGTTACTCAGACTTCACCACCCCCATGGTCACATTAGCCATTACAACTCCACTGGGGCAATTTCAAAAACACCTTGTGAGCAAGGGCTCTATTCTAACACACCTAGCCCCGTGAAAACATAAACTCATCCCTCCAAATCAACCATTCTCACTTACCATTCCACCCCACCACAATTAATGTTTACCCAATAAAATTACACTCTTCTCTACAACATTGTGCACATAACCCACTAAAAAGCAAAAAAGNTCTATCATTTACCAAGATATATTAATGATAATTGAATCAAATAGTGATGAATAATTTAAGTACTCAATAAAAAATTGATTATTTTTAACATAAAATTAATTCTTGCACATAGCAAAAGAAGACTATCAATCAAACTAGAATGTAAAGGTAAAGAATTAGATTATTATAATAACAAAAAACTAGACTAAAATACAAATGACTAATATGTACCATAAAATTTAAAAACTTTATATAAAACATACATACATACATACATATATATATATATATATATATATATATATATATATATATATACATACATACATACATATATATGCGTATATAACGCCATCTGCTCATGGGTCAACGTGCATGTATAACTGAATGCAATGCATAAGAAGTGAGTTAGAAAGATTTCTCGGTATTATTACGCCTTTGATTAATATCATGAAATAAACTTTATCAACTTACGTTTTTTCTGCGACCCATGAACAGATGATAAAATGATTGGGCACATGGGGAATCAAGAACATAGGCATTTCGATGCATAGAGTCATTTATAAAAGTTGTGCATTTGCTCGTTTAGTTTGTATCGTATGGATCATGCCAACAGAAAAACAGGGATAGCCTTAACATACCTGAGCCGATTCTCTTGACAATCCCTCTAACACATGTCAATCACGACAAAACACGTAACGGTGAGATCGAAGTAGGGAAAAATTCGTATGATATTCTTGAGAAAGATTATACTGGGCTCCCTTAGAATTTGAAATTCACGCTGTTATAGCATTGTAAAGGTTCATACCAGTTCCTTTTTGATAATTCCATCCGTTACTTAGCAAGCTATACATCTTACTTAATGTCTTTATCAAAGTGGGTGTGGGCCTCACTTAGGTGACTACTTAGCCACAATTTCCTCTAATTATGCACCTAGAATACAAACCAAAGAGTCACTTATTACCTAATCCCTTGGCTGCCATGTTGAGGTCCATTAGGCTTATCCAAAGATGCTAATTAATTGGTTAATCTCCCACTAAAAATCAATAATTACCCAATTATCCATATAATTAAGAATTATCTCAAATTACTTAAAATACTAACTACTTTTAACACACTTTATATACCTTACTATCATGGCCATGTGGTAACTTGTATGACACTAGTTCATAAATACAGGGTATTATAGCTTGGATCATATTTTACCTCAAAATGTCAAACTTCGACGAAACTCATGTTCTTCCACTCGTTTACCCCCTGACCTTCACGGCTTTATTTATCACTTGTCATAAATAGCATAATACTTATAATCTCAAAATACTCTTGTCCTTGAACTGATGTCAATTATCAAACGACAAATCCAATATACAATACTACGGGGTGTATCATCGTCGTAATACTACGAAGTATAACCTCAGTTGTTGGAGATTCTTTTGATGATTGTCTTGCAAATTTGGACAAAGTTGGTGCTAGATGTGAGGAAACAGATTTGGTGCTCAATTGGGCTAAATGTCATTTCATGGTTGAGGAAGGCATTGTCCCTGGACATAAGATCTCAAAGAATGGTATTGAAGTTGACAAGGCGAAGATTGAGGTTATTTCTTAGCTTCCACCCCCATCTCCATAAAGGGTGTGCAGAGTTTCTTTGGCCATGCCAGTTTCTACCGCGCTTTATCAAATATTTCTCTAAAGTGGTGAACCCATTGTGTAAGCTCCTTGAGAAGGATTCTAAGTTTCATTTCAATGATGATTGTGTGAGAGCTTTTGACCAATTTAAGCTCAAGTTAACATCTACTCCTATCATTCTCCAAATTAGAGTTTTTCATTCGAGCTCATGTGTGATGAAAATGATATAGCGGTTGGGGCTGTTTTGGGGCAATGTGTTAACAAAATTTTTCGTCCGGTTTATTACACTAGTAAGACCATGAATAGTGCCCAAGTCAATTATACCTTTACGGAGAAAGAGCTCATTGCTATTGTGTTTGCAACTGAGAAGTGCCGCCGGTACTTAATAGGTGCCAAAGTTATTGTCCACACGGATCATGCGGCACTTCATTATCTTGTGAGAAAAAGGATCTAAAGCTCGATTTATGAGATGGTACTCTTGTTTCAATAAATTGATATTGATATTAAATAAAAGAAGGGTAGTGAAAACCAAGTGGCGGACCACTTGTCTCGTTTGGAGGAGTAGGGGAGGCCTCATGATGGCCTTGAAATCAATGACTCCTTCCCTGACGAGCAACTTTTGGCCCTATCAATGAAAGAGGTACCGTATTTGCGGACTTAGCAAATTTTCTTGTGAGTCGTATCATTATAGATGAGTTCTCTTCAAACCAAAGGAAAAAGCTAAAAGGGGATTGTCAAGAGTACTGTTGGGATGAAGCATACCTTTTCCGTATTTGCACGGATGGGGTGTGATGACCCGATAGATCATCTTATGAATTAAAACTAAATTTAGTGCTCCGAGGCCTTAAAAACCCCATTTTATTCCTCCTCGATTTGCGTGCACAGTTCGTACGTGTTTCCGAAAAGCTTTTATGTTGAAAGTTGATAAAAATAAGGAATTTTGCTTAAAAACCTCATTTGAGTTAACTTCGGTCAACATTTTTGGTAAACGGACCCGGACTTGTGTTTTGACAGTCCTGGTGGGTTCGTATCGAAATATGGGACCTGGTCGTATGCCCGGAATCGGATTCGGAGGTCCCTAGCCCGTGATTTGAATTTTTGTTGAAAGTTGAAAGTCTGAAAATTTATTTGTTTAAGAAATTATTGATGTTTGATCTCATTGGTATCGGATCCGTATTTTGGTTCCGGAGCCCGGTACAGCTCCAATATAATATTTTTGACTTACCTATGAAATTTGGTGGGAAACGGAGTCGGTTTGACGTGATTCGGACGTCCGGTGGTAAAAATAGAGATTCTAAAGCTTTCTTGAATATTCCATTTGATTTGGTGTTCAATTTATAGTTCTAGGTGTTATTTTGGCGATTTGACCGCCGAGCAAGTTTGTGTGATATTTTTAGACTGGTGTGCACTTTTGGTTTGGAGTCCCGAGGGGCTTGGGTGTATTTTTGGATCTTGAGAGACTGGTAAAGTTAAGAAATTTTGGAGTTTGACCATGGTCAATATCGGTTATGACGACCTCTTTTCAGTGTCTTGAGTGCGCGAGCAGGTCCGTAGCATATTTTATGATTGAAATTCATTTATGGTTTGTGTCCGAGAGGTTCCGGATGAGTTTCAGGATGCTTTCAGATCATTTCGGAGAAGTTTGGGTTTTGCTTGTTTCTGGTGCGACACTGTTCATTCGCAATTGCGAGCCTTTTATGGTAATTGCAAAAACTATTCATTCGCAATTACGAACCATTTATGATAATTGTGAAAACATTGTTCATTCGCAAATGCGAAGTTTTTTTTGCAAATGCGATACCTGTAGCTGAACAAAAGATGACTTAGACGGGATTTTTAATTCATTTCCTAAATTTTCAAAACTTAAACCACAAGACGCGATTTTCCAAAGAAATTTTCTTCCCCAAATCATTGTTAAGTGATCTTAATCTAATTTCTTTCAATCTTTCACTATTGTTTCGTAAGATTCAACCAAAAATCTAAGGTTTTCATGGTGAAATCGGGGGTTTTTTGGGTAGAAACTAGGGATTTCAAAATTTGGGGATTTAGACCTCAAATTAAGGTTGAATTCCAAAACAAATTATATATCCGGGCTCGGGGTGAATAGGTAATTGGGTATTTGTCCGAATTTCAGGTTTGGACCAAGCGGGCTCGGGTGTTGACTTTTGTTGACTTTTTCAAAAATGCCCTAAATTGAATTCTTTGCAATTATGGGTAGATCCTAAGGCTTTATTTGAATTGTTTGGTTGGTAAATTGCTAGATTCTATTGGTTCGGGGGCTTGTGTGAAGGGAAAAGTTGTGATTGAGTTGTGAGTTTGGCCGTTGGAGCGAGGAAAGTGTCGTGGTTAACTTTGGCTTGAGCGATTAGGTATTATTTGCCTATTTGTTACGTGTTTGGATGTTGAGTACAACGTATAGGTGAGGTGACGAGCACCTATGCATTGTTGTCGAGTCATAGGATGCGAGTGAATCTTATTCTTGTAACTGTTGTATTCTTTGATCATATTGTTCTTGCTTAGACTAGCTATTCGTTATGTTGAGCAACTCTTATAATGTTTTACAGAATTTGGTATTGATTGAGTATTGACATTAAGTTGAGGTTGGTATTGTGGAACTAAATGTTGAAGTAAGACTGGTTCTTGATATTTCTATCTCTCTGTTGTTATTGTTCATTGTTTCTGTGAGGGAGAGTGTTAAAGCACAAAGGGTGATGCCGTGCAATATTTTGTGAGTGGGAGTTAATGCATGAAGGGTGATGTCGTGCCATGATATGTGAGTGTTAATGCATGAAGGGTGATGCCGTGCTGTTTCTTTTGTTTATATGGTGAGGATGAGAGTTAATGCACGAAGGGTGATGCCGTGCCGTTTCTGTTAATTATTATGGTGAGGTTGAGAGTAAAAGCACGAAGGGTGATACTGTGCACTTGTCTTTAATGTGTTTAATACTTTCATTGGTGCAAAGCATATTGTATTTTGTGGTTTCTTTACTGTTACAGATTTCTTTATCATGTACTCGCCTCAGCATGTTTCCCCTCCCGTTATTATTTGTTCACCTTCTATTAGTTGTTACTGTGCTCGTATATTGTTTAACTACACAGGTTTATGAATGTGTCTTGTCTTAGCCTCATCACTACTTCGCCGAGGTTAGACTCGACACTTACCAGTACATAGGGTCGGTTGTAGTGATACTCACTCTGCACCTTCTGTGCAGATATTGCTACCGGACCGAGTTGACCCTGAGTCTAGCTGCTGGCTTGATCTATTTGGAGATCCAAGGTAGTCTTGTTGGCGTCCGCAGGCCTTGGCGTCCCCTTCTATGCATTTTGTATATTGTTTCATTTGTATCAAAACCAGTTGTATTTTCTTCAGACACCTTACTTGTAGCTAAATCTTAGTAGTTTGTGGATTGTGACACTAGATTCTTGGTAGTTGTGTATAAGTATTAAAGTTTTTATGGATTTCCGCACTTTTCTTTTTACCTTGTTATGGCTTATTTGATGTTTATCACTGAAAAACTTAAGTATTGGGCTTAATGATCTCTACCGTTGGCTTGCCTAGCAAGTGAAAGTTAGGCGCCATCACGGTTGGGAATTCCGGGTCGTGTCATGGGGTGATTAGGAGGTGTGTTCTGGAAGAAGAGCAAGGTGATATTCTTGGATCTTGTCATTGTTCGCCATATGGTGGTCATCATTGTGGAGCAAGAACGGAGGCTAAAGTTCTAAGTTGTGGTTTTTATTGGCCTACTCTCTACGAAGATACAAATGACTTGGTGAAAAAATGTGATGAATGTCAACGGGCCGGTGGAATTTCAAAGAAAAATGAGATGCCTCTTACTACCATCTTGGAGATTGATATCATTGATGTTTGGGGCATTGACTTTATGGGCCTTTTGTGAGTTCTCATTGAAAACACTTATATTTTGGTCACGCTGGATTATGTGTCCAAATAGGTTTAGGTTGTTGCCTTTGCCCAAAAATGAGGCTAGAAGTGTTGTGGCTTTCCTGAAGAAGAATATTTTTACAAGATTTGGTACTCCGCGTGAAATCATAAGCGATGGGGGCTCACATTTTTGCAGCAATCCTTTTGACACTTTACTTAGCAAGTATGGTGCTACTCACAAAGTCACGACTCCCTATCACTCACAAGCTAGTGGTCAAGTAGAAGTCTCCAACCAGGAGATAAAAAGTATCTTGTCTAAAACGATCAATGCAAATCGGACGGATTGGTCCATGAAGCTTGATGATGCACTATGGGAATATCAGATGGCTTACAAAACACCTATCAGAGTGTCTCTATACCGGTTAGTGTTCAGGAAAGCTTGTCATCTTCCAGTGGACCTAGAGCACAAGGCAATGCGGGCCTTGAAGAAATTGAATCTTGATTGGGATGTAGCCGCTAACTTTTGAGTTACACACTTGAATGAATTGGATGAGTTCTGGTATCATGCTTATGAGAACTCGTCTTTGTACAAAAAATGAAATATCTTCATGACAAGTACATTTGGAACAAAGAGTTCAAGTTCGCTGATCTGGTGTTGTTGTTTAACTCAAGGTTGAGGATGTTTCTCGGGAAGCTTAAGTCCAAGTGGAGTGGTCGGTTTGAAATTGTTGGTGTGACTCCCTTCGGTGCATTGGATTCGAAGAACAAGAACAATAAAATATTTCGAGTCAATGCTCACTGGGTGAATCACTACTTGGGTAAAGTTAGAGAGAGCCTATTGGTCATGGCTATTTACTTGAGGATTCTATGACATTACGTCATGTCACGACGTTAAATAAGGCGCTTCTTGGGAGGCAACCCAAGTTCTTTTCCTTTTACTCTTTTTAGTTAGATATTATTTGTTGTTTTCTAACTTGATTTGAGTGTGCTGAAGGGATGAGTGTTAGATGAAAAATGATAAACAAGGTTGTGTCATCGAAACAGGAAATGCGGGCAGCACTTTTTCTTTATGCGTCCGCAGAAAAAATAGTGCTACCACAGAAGACTTTGAGCGGCCACAGATTTCATCTGCGGACCGCACTTTCCAGAGCAAACTCAGATGCCAATGATAGGTCCTCTAAGCTTTTCACCTGTCAATGCGGGACAAAAGTACGGACTTTTGAAGAATTGACCGGCCAAGAGACTTTGTCCACTGAAGGCTAGGTAGTAGAGTGCGATACGAACTTGAAATTGTGCGACCGCACTCGCTTCTTTACCTTACTATTTGAGTACAAATAGAACTGAAGACCTCAATTTACACTTTTCACCCTCTTGAAATTTACTGTTACTTTAAGAGTTCACCTGAGGAATCTGCACTTTCAATCACATACCATTATTTGCATTCACTGGGATCTTTACACATTTACACCATTCGGTATTCTTCATTTCATGTTAAATTTTATTTCAATTTAGTTTTTGAATTTATTTTTCATTTTTAGATACTTTTTAGGCTATCTGTTATTACATTCCATCAATGTATCCATGTGGGTAGTTTTGTACTGGGTAAGTTGATAAAGCATGCGAGATTGGGTTGGGTTAATTGATTTCTATGTCTATACCATGTTGCCAAGTAGATTTGAACAAATTTTTACATAACCTAGGTAAAGTTAGACCTTCCCATTTGTGTTCTTGAATGTGTGGACCGCACTTGGAATTGTGCGATCCACAATTTTCTAGTTAAGGAAACTTGTTGGATGTTGTTTATGCGGTCGCACTTTAAATTGTGCGGACCGCAAAATTTCTTGAGATGTTGCATAATAGTATGCACTGTCAATTAGAGGCTTGCCCTCTGAGCTTCTAAAGTGTAGATCGCACTTATAATTGTGCAGTGCAAATGACCTCTGCACTGTAATTCAGAGAGGAAACATCTGAGCCCCTTGCACATCTGTGAGAAGCGCGGCCGCAGTTGGAATTGTGCGGTTTGCACTTCCACTTCTGCGGGCCGCACTCCAAATTGTGCGAACCACACTTCCCCCATTCCTTCTGCATGTTTCTCTAACTGATACCTCACTGCTTCTATGCTGTTCTCACTCACTTACATGAGACTTAATTGATTTAAATCATTAATTTCAACTAACAATTCTCTTTGTGCTCATACAGACGATGGTATGATCACGAGGTCGAGGTGAATCTACCGAAGGAAGAGGAAAATCTTCAAGGGGAAGGACAAGAGGTGTCTTTCCCCCAAGTGTGCAGAAAACTATATCCAAGAAAGCAACAACATGCCGAGGGAGAGAGACCTCTCAGAGTCTAGCTCATATGCCCTGTTTAGGGTATCCTCCGAGGGGAACTTTGTATCAATTTCAGAGGAGCACAATGAAGAGCAATCCGGGCCACAGAGGCAGCCTGAGCCTCTGGATGTGCCTTCTACATCCCACAACAATTCACATGGTTCGGAGAGTTCCAGTCACGAGTCCAATGCAGCTGTTGTGGGCTCTGATTATGATGATGCCCCGGATGATGGGAGAGGGGGTGCAGGTGCAATAGCAGGTTTTTCTAGGTCAAAGAAGAAAGAGGTCTGGGAGGATATATTTGTGAGCCGTTGGGAATTTTCTGGTTTCTGGAAGTGGTGGCATGTTAGGTTCTTGACTCATGAGCGGCAGTTCTTACTCAAAGATCTTGACAAATACAACCCCGTAGTCTTAGAGCAGTGTACTAAAAGAAAGGGGTGGATATTGTTTACTGAGAAACTAGTGGATGAAAAAGAGCATCTTGTCCAGGAATTCTATACTAACACAGCGCATATTCTCAAAGGGACAAAGGTCACCAAGGTGTGCAACTTGAAGGTGAAATTTGATCAGCATACTCTGATGCGTACCTGTGGTTTGATGATATAGAGCCAAAAGAGTATTTAGAGAAGTAGGCTCTGAAAGAGGAGGCTAGGCCATGGCTTGCAGAGATTCTAGAACAGGGACCCACTTCTTCGTGGATTGCTGCTGGGGTTCCTATCCTCTGGAAAACTTTGAGTTTTAAGGCCAAAGGGTGGCAAATATGCAATAGGCTTGACCCGTTCCTGAATGTGATCAACCTTCACATCTCTCGAGCTATTCTGGTCGCTTCAATTATGGATGAGTACGCAATCAATGCGGGTGTCCTAATGTCGGCTAATATCTCCATTGTGGTTCAATAGAGTAACACCTCTTACCCCTACCCAAAACACTATTATTGAGTATCTGACAAACGCCAAGGTGGAGCTTAGACCATTTGAAACCAAAGTCAAGCCGACAGGGTCGTTTGATTGGGGGATCCAAGGAACCCAAAGAAGAGTGCTCAGCCCTCTTCTGCTGGCCAGTCTGATGAGCCGGTAGTGGTAGTTTCTATTCCTTCTAATATTCCATCCACATCAGCTGAGCTTTCTACCAGTGCAACAACTGCTATGCCCGACCCACTATTGTGAGCTCCTTCTACAACTCCTATTGCATTTCTTACTCTAGCTCTGAGGCTGGTACTCATGCCTACAGGGCCATTATCTACTTTGTGAGTCTCCCATACATTGGTGAGTCTCAACAACTCAATGCAGGAAACTACTTCAAAGCTATCTGAAATCTCCAGTATTTTTGCAGGGAAGACATCTACATGGGCACCCCTGGACCCCTATGACATTGATCAAAAGCTTAGCAAAGTCTTGGATAACCAGAAGGTCATCATGGATACATTGGTACAATATGGTACTATGATTGAGCAGTTGAGCAAGCAAGTGAAGAAAATAAAAGTCTCAGGCCAGCAAGAAGTAGGTTGATGGGGTTCGAGTTGAGGTGACCCGGATTGCTGAGGCCGAAGATTTGCCATTTGATATGTTACTTGACATCCCAGCCCCACCCAGCTCCATATTCGTAGGATGCTCCCGCTGCTCCGACTGAGGATTTGTACCTTGCTACTGACACTGCTGAGGCAGTGCATGCTATGTTCATTTCTCCGGGCACTCCCAGACTTGATGATGATATTCAGTTGGCTCAGCCAGTTGGGACTGATGTTGATGGTGATACAGTGATGACTGAGGACACTTAGGGAGTTTTTTCCCCCTCTCTGCTTTTGCTCTTACTTTGTTAAGCGTTGGGGACAATGCTTATTTTATTCCGGGGGGAGGGGGTGGAGCATATTTGATATGTTTGGATACTTTGGGATGTAATAATTTGATGTTTCTACTTTGTTTTTATTTGTTTACCTTTGATTTTGTTCATGTTAGTAGCTTTATGTTTTTCTTAGTAGTGTGGATAATAAGCCTTTGGTTTTTTTAATGCTACGGTTCTTTCCAAAGGTGGTCTTTTGTGTGAACTAGGTGACTCTTCCTGAGGATGGATGGTGTGATAACTTTCCTAAGGGAATGAGTCCGTTTTGTGTTTAGGTAAGAATAGTAGTAAGTAGTAATGAGTAAAAGCCCTAATTAAGTCATTCTCTAAAAATAGTTATTCATGCGTCATTTGTCACCAACACACTTAACTGCATGTTTATGGTTTGAAAAAAGATTTTTGGAAGAAAACAGCCTTTGTTAGTGACTTTGAGGTTCTTGAGTTGACTTTGATAATCATTAGGTGGTTGATTAGACCATAGTGATCTTTAACTTGATTGTGATCGTTGCAGGATTTAGACTCTTTTTTCTTTTATGGTCTAGTCGCATGAGAGGTGAGGTGATTTTTATTGCCAGTCCAAGTACTTGAGTGGATAGTCTAGAACTTGCCCCGATTGTGTTTCAAGATGAAATTCTAAGTTTGCTTTGTTTGGAAGTTGATTGTAGGCTTTTCTTGGTTTGAGCTTTCCATTGCCACCCTATGTTTTTTCTCCATAGTCAACCCTTTTGAGCCTTTAGCCTTTCTTTGTTGGTAAACATTTTAACCGTTTTGATTGTAATTCTCTCTTGGCACATGAACCTTCCTTAACATTCTTATGTAATAAGTGGCTTAATATATAAGTTTTGGGAGGGG